ATTAAACATATTCTCCTACTGTAATTATGTTAAATGCTTTCCTGGTCCTCCGAGCTGACGGTGAAAGGTTGAGACGTGTGAGCGATCATCTTTCCGCTCGTCTCAGAGACTCCCTGAAGGAGTTAGTCAGCACAGCTCTGAGATGTCCCACAGGACAGGATGATGCAAGGACACTTCAGATGTCTTCCTGATGTCCATCTCTGCTAATGTCCTACTGAGAATAATCTCAGCCATAAATATTGAAGTCAAGCACTTATTATTGTCAGATTGGTGGATTATTTTGACTGACAGAGGCACCAGACTTCTGTTCAGATCTCCCTGTGCCAAAACACACATTTTTAAGATCTTAAGCTCGTGTCAATCCCAAAATGATCCTCGTGTAGCTGATGAAAGATACTGTGTGGGTTTGAACTAAATTAGTTTAGTTTAGGGCTGTGAACATAAAATGGATTATTATCTAATCCTCCCTTAGTGGGAATTAGGAACTATTTTGCTACACGGGTAAAGTCTACTGGCAGTCCTTCGTTTTGAGAAAGGTGAGGAAGACCGGCAGTAGCCAACGACAGACTGCTGCTTTGAACGGTGAGAAGTGATCAATCTGGATTTAATCACATTTTACATTTTAGATACATGAAAACTGTACTTTAGCTTCATCACTTCTAACTCGATGTTTAGTGTCGGACATCTAAAGCTTGTTTCTGTTTAGTTTTTGTCTGTGCTGCTGTTATATTACGTATAAATTGGCTACAAATAAATTTATCACAAGACCAGAGTGCTTCTCTCAACTCCTTCAGCAGTAAAGGAGAGATTTACAGGAAAGCCCATACTTGCTGTTTGATGATGTGATTTATTGTGTTTTAAAGCCAAATAAGACTTAACAAATGTTGTTTCTGATATTTATTTATTCATTCATTTAAAAGAAGAAAAAAAAATCAAAAATAAAAAAAAACATTGAAAAGGGTGCAGAAAGAAGAAAAAATTATTATATCTGCCCCTTGTTTAAAATATATATAAAATAACTACAAACAATTTAAGGGTTATTATTATTATATGATGAGAATAACCTGTATAAATAAAGGTTGAATAGAAAAAACAAACATAAATCCGTTGTACAAAAAGTGCACTATAGTTTAAACCTGATCAAATTTACATGAACTCTGTTGAAGCTCGGCTCAATATAATATCTGTCATGTTCAGGTTTAAAAGGTTTCTTCTACTTTTTGGCTTTTATCTCCATCTGGTGGCCAGATTTGAAAAATAAAAAGACCTGCTCCTCTGCAGCCTTGACAGATTCAAACGCTGTCGTTCTTGTGAAGATACAAAGGAGGTAAAAAGATGGTTCTCCTTTACTGCATCTGTATTAACTGTAAGAAACAAAGACATGAACCAAGTGGAAATGTAAGGTGGTCAGCAGAGAGAACTGACAATGTCACAACCTCTATTATAAAACTACTTTTTTTTTAAACAGTACCAAATTTTTAGGACGATGAAGTGCTTAAAACCCTTTAATTGTTCTCACAAATCAACAGTGAGCCTTTTTGTATGAATTCTGGTTGTTTACGGACTTCAAACCGATTTAAGGTGGTCCAACTGAACAATGTTCGAGTTATTGTGAACGACTTGAATCAAGTTTGACTTATCCGTTTTGTTTCATTTAATGCACCCTATAGTCCAAAAAACACGATATTATTCCTAAACTTCCTGGTTCTCCAGATGAAATGGATCAAACGGGTGTGACAGAGAAAATAAATATCATTTGACAGTTTAAAAAAATCCCACAAACACACAAGAAACGTTGTCTTTTTAAAAGTATTTTATTCTTGAAATTATTTTATAAAATCTCATTTACATTTTCTTTCATTATATATAGAGATTTGTACGCTTGTTTATATAATATTTACCAATGGACAATTTTGGCTATTTTCCCATTCCACCCCCATTTTCGCCCAACACGATTTCTAAGTTTATCTCCCCTTCAATTACACGTTGTGCAATGATCCTCAGTGCCATGGTGGGTGGGGGGTAAAGGAACATGGGTATGGGCCTTGCACATGCCAGGACAAAGGTTACAGAACCAGGGAATGGTAATGAGGCTTCCTAAGCACACCACCACTGGTAATAACAGTTACTAACCACATCAAAAATAAGAGAAACTTCCACAATGACTGAGTGAGTCTGGTGCTGGTTAAGCCAATCATATTAAAATGGCTTCATGTATTACTTTTGATCTGCCAACTTTTATCATTTCATAACAACTGGTGAACATAGTGCGAACTTCACATTAGAGATGAATTAATAAGTCAGGGTTAGGCTCCCCATTAACATATAACTTAAGTCCAGTAAGTCCACAGACCTAATAGCAGCCCTCGAGACCGTTTAGCCCTTTAACGTCCAACGCGAGTCATCACTCGTCTGTTTAGAGTCAAACCCACATCACACGGTGTGTAAACAGACATCTACGCTGACCCTTTTCCTCCTAGGCTCAAAACAAGGCCAACATATACGGACAAGGCTAAACTTTAGCAAAATCACAGATTTGTTACTTCAACTGTACATCCAGGCGATTTGATTTAATAACTCCAGAGACCGTTGTTCTTCATTTGGCAATAAAATCACGGCTCAAAACTTCTGAAAGTCCCCTTTTTGTTGCTGGTATGATTTGCTAACAGAGCAGCTGAAACAGCATGATAATTAAACTAAATACTTTTTTTAAAAAGGCTTTGTCACATGGAAAAATTGCACGTTTCCCCTAAGGTCACTGAACTCTTTGACACACAAGTTAGCCGATGTTGACTTCTGTCGACAAACCCTAAAACTATGTCAAATTAATATCAAATGATGCCTTTTTAGAGTTTAAACAGGATTAAGACACAAAACTAATTTTCAGATTAGTTGAGGGTAAGTAATGAAAAGAAGAATGACGTCAGACACTTCATTTCTGATCTAATGTCAGTTCAGGTGATATTTCTTAGCAGAAATTCACTTCGCAGCTAAGGCAAAAGTTACACAAGTATATAATATATACTACTGCATTGTTTATTAAAACATTGCCGGTGTGCTTTGTTTAAAAAATAATCTATATTTGACAGCACTTTAAATGTAACTTGACTTTTTTTAAACTATCACTGGAGTGAGTTTTGTTTGAGACTGTTGAATTGTGGGTTCATAAGACACAAACCATTGAAAATCGAAATATTCTCAAATTATTTTCCAATGAGCGAGCTAAACAAGCTTAAGGCATTTGTAAAATTAGCTCTGACAGAACATAAAGGCTACAGGAGCCCAAACACTCTGCAATCAGACTTCATTTCCAATGAAAAGAGATTTTACATTAGCCCTTGCTATCAACTTCAATATAAAATGCATGTTTTCTACATACATGGAGAACAAAAGTGTAAACAACATGTAAGCGATTCTATATAGCTACAGTATATATACTGAATATGCTTTCAGAAGTGTCTGATAAAGAGCTTTTGGTGTTTTAAAAATGTAAGGAGCTGAAATGTTCTCAGAACTCAAACTAGACAAAAAGCTACAATATCAGTGCACTGCATGCAGATGAAATCTTGGTGAAATTTAGTGTAATAACCACTTTCTTTGTGACGCTTCAAATGTTAATGCTTTTAGCTCCGTTTGTGATTCACTTAGTTGCAACACAAGCGGTTTCGATCTTTAAAAAAAATACAAAGAAACACGCATTTGTAACTAAAACAGAGTAAATGAATAATTTATGCTTCACAAGCCAATTGTAGCAAGGTGGTCACTCGAAACGTGACTAAAATTCACAGGCGGTCCAGCTCATGTCAGCTCACTAACACAGAAACTAAAACCAGAAGTCGAACAAGAATATTTTCTAAACCGTTGCGATGGCAGAATCACATTAACACAATAAACCTCTAAAGATGTCTGACGCAGCTGACTGGAAGAGGACATGGTCCACTAAGCAAACACATGAGTAGCAAATCACATACAAGTTTAGTACATGGTGTTGTTCTGTTGATTTGAGGCTAGTTTGAAGCTGCAATGTCAAACTGGGTGTTTAAGCTGATGGTATTTGAGGTAGACAGAAACTACAGAGTATAAACTTTCACACAACCTAAAACCATCAAGAAGCAGTTTTGCAGTCCCCTGATTTGTGGCCCAGATGAAAAGCTCCTGCGACCCCACCTGAGACTGACTGAGACTACCCTGGGAAGGGGAGATCATGAGCCATGGAGGTTAGAGGAGTGCATCGACAGGGGAGTTATGGATCTGTACTTATCTAAAAGAATCTATGTTCAACAGCAGCGTTTAAATCTCAACCTTATAATCACAAACGTTTCAGAGTTCATTTACACGGCATAATCTTTTAAAGAGAACACATGGCCTCTGACCATTGTCGGTATCCCTTTGAGATATCTTCTATCCTACACCCACATACACGAATAAATACTCTAAATGAATCCCACTGCCAGATCGAGTCTGTTTAACAGTCTCACATTGTTCCAGAGAATAAAAATATATACTATAGTCTTCCAGTGTAAGTTTTTTACCCTACGTTTTTTTTTTTACCAAGTTTTAATATACTTTTAAACACAATGCAAGCTCAGAGGTCTTTCACTCTCACACACACGCACACTATATATATAATATTCATATATTGGATTTGTTAGCTGAAAGGTTAGGCAATGTATATTATGATCTTTTGGATTGATTTCATTAAAAATAAAATTAAACCTTCTTTTCCAGTTTCCCGATTGAGTGTAAAAGTTTGAGAACACTGGGAAGCGCTACAACATCACACGACTACTCAAGAGCAGGTTGCAAGAGAAAACAAATGGACAAAAGGCCTGAAGTTGTACAAGGCAGAGAGATGGGTGGATGATATCGTTCTCTGTGGCATGTGCATTGCATGGCCCCACAGAGTAAGAGAAAAATGTACAAATGGGAAAAAAAAAATAAAAGACCAAAAGATACAACAGAAAGCAAAAAAAAAAAAGAAATATGTAAACATGATGAAAGGTGAAGCAATAGTGCAAGACTACACTTTATGTTAGGATGAACAGCCCAACCACTTCATTCATCGATACACTAAGTGAGATATGGTGCCAGATTTAAAGTTGAGCTGATGGTTGGGCACGAAGCTGTGCTGAGGATTCTTTCGGGTGCACATATCTTTTGCATACAAGCCCATACACGAGTCACATGATACTTTTGAGCAGTTCACACAGGTGTGTGAAGCACCTGGCTTGTTGCAAAATCCACACCGTGATCCCCCCATGCTGAGTCGGTCACTGCTGCCTCCCTTTGGTGTTGTCAAAGCAGCAGACTTACTTGGAAAGAGCTTGGTGGGCATGAGGGGTTTCTCCAACATCTGGGGGTGAGGATGGGGATGAGAATGTGAATGAGTTAATGTTAGGGGATGTGGATGAAGATGGGAGTGAGAATGAGCGTTGGAGTAGACGGAGAGCTTTTCCTTAACAGGAATGTATCCATCGAGGGGTCGTGGAGATTTGGAGTGGTACTCCTGGAGGCCACAGCAAGGGGAAGGGTCCACATCATGGCAGGCAGGGCAAAGAATCATGTCACACCTGGGGCAGGACGTCATTGTTGAACAACCCAGTCCACAACCTTGACACTTGACACAATGAGTTTTAAGCAGCCAGCCATCTCTGGCATCTCGAGGTTCTCTGAATGGGGGTCGGGATAGAATCTGCCTTCCTCCAGTCCCTGCACCCCCTTTTTCCGTGTACAGGTCGATCTCATCTAAAGAGGACAGATGGTAGGATGTGTAGGGATCAGCTGGGGTAGGTGACTGAATTGGGAAAAAGTCTGCAACGGGGCTATAAGAAGGTGGAGCTGCAACTGAGAAAAAAGAAGCTGAGGTGCTGGGCCTGATGATCTCATCCTTCATATCCTCCTCAGCATCCACAAATAGAGGCTCCTTCCTTAGACTCAATGACGCCTTCAAAACAGGCTTGTTAACAGCTGCATGCCAGTGACCAGCCCCATCTGTAACATCCACAGACTTGGATGGTCGACTACCCCGCCTCAGTTGATGGGCATGAGGCCTGTCTATATCCAGCGGTCGCACAGACAATCGGGCCATATCTGCTCCAAGGCTGTCACGTCTGCGGAGTGCTTCGGCACAGCCAGCAGCATCATCTCTGCAACCTCTGCGGAGTTCCAGAGCCTCCAGCTCTGAGGCTGAACCACGGGCAAGAGCCACTACCTCTCCCAGCAGACGACACTCTGCCTGGGCCAAGAAAAGCTCAAATGCTAGCTGGCGGAGATAATTTGTGTCACCTTGGTGCTCGTGCAATGTAAACTGCGAATCATGGTCACGAGAATATCCGATGGTCAGCATTAGAGTTTGGAGCTCAGAATCAAGAATAGTAGACTGAAGATGGTACACATACGGGCCAGTGAAGGTCTGAAAGAGACAACATCGGAAATCATAATTAGTGCCTCGTAAATAAAAAGATAAAAATCTCAAATAAAACATTCTTTAACATATTACGGAGTAACAATGCAATATCTAATAATAAAGTTTTTTTTTAATTCCACTGTAATGTTTAAAAACATGTTTTTTCTTTTGTTTTCTAAATTCTCATTTTTTTAAAATACTTTTTACTAAAGTCAAGCTTGTACTCAACTGAAAGTATTTGTTCTACAGAGTTATTCAAGAACTGTACAGAGTAAATTGCTGATTTTAGTTCATTTTCAACAATAACTCTATAAATTATTTTTGTTTATAGCTCATATTGGATTGATAATGGTAAATGTGGAGTATGTTGGATGTTAACCAGAGACAATATTCTAAATATTAAGACAGAATTACACATTTATACACTGAAAAAATGTTTTAAACTGTAACACCCTGTAAAAACTGTACTTCTAGAGCTGAAGCACAATCTAATGTTCTGTCCACACTTCATTCGAGTGTACAATTGCAATCTAATCTAGGGTCGGCAAAAGGTTGGCAATTAAAACAAACTAATTTAATTAAACAGTTTATTATTGTGAACTACACTGGCCTCAGTTAGCATCTTGTAATCAGTAATAAAAGTTTGACAGAAAAGGATGATAACCAATTTTGCATTCAACTATTATTGGTATGAAAACAAAATATGGTACGTCTACATGTGCTAAAAATATGCACTAGGAAACAAACTTGTTTGTCCTGAAACTTTAGAGAAGAATCTTGTCAAAACATAATGTGAGAATCTCAGAGCAACGTGTGGATAGAAACATTTTCTTACTGATGCTATAGCCTGTGTAATATTTAACAAACATTGGTTCTGGATTTCTGAACTCCTTAATAATTATAAGTAACATAATAAACTAAACTCACCTTTATAAACCTGAACTCTTTTTTCCAAGGGAAAAGCAACAGGTTGGTGCAGACGGTTTCCAGTGTGTTGAACGCTCTCTCCAGGCTCTTCAGACTACTTCCTCTCTGGCAGCGGAGGGAATTCTCAACTACCTCATAGAATCGCACCATGCGAAATCGCTGTCCAGGATCTGGCTGGTATGCTCCAAGCAGGGCGGTGGCAGTGGAGAGTAGGGCCTCACCGTCTTTGTTTCTGTTTTTGTCTCCATTTAGTGTAGTTCCAGTTGCTGTACATCCTCCACCTTCCTCCAGACGCTTTTCCAAAGCAGTCACGTACCTCCGAAACAGATCCTCTTTCAGCTTGGCATCCATTATTTGCCACAGACTATCCTTCAGTTGTTAATCTTTTCCGTGAGAGCCTCACCCCTTTAGGCACTCCCTGCACCAGGATGCCACATTCAAACACCATTTTTAGCCACCATATTTTACTGTGCACACTAGCACCCACTAACTTTCAATGTTATGGAAAAGTGGCAGAGGAGCGAGACTTTGTGTCCACTCAGAGGCACATCCTACATACATGGAAAACTTTTTTTTCTAGTGTATTCAGTTGACGTAGCTGGGCAGAAGCCTGTACGGATGTCTTTGTATGGACATGTCTAGTTAGGCTCAAAACTCAACTTGTTTCCAGGCAAACATCTGTGTCATACACGATGATGTAAGGAAGAAATTTTGCTTTGTCTTCTGTTCGTTCAGAGTTGAATCTATTCAGTTCTTTGGCTCCAGCATTTGTAGAGTTTGAGGTCATTCATCTAGTAGACATTAAGTGGATCTCCTCAGCCATCTCCAAGCTGTAATCACACAAGCATGCATAAAAATATAAATACTTAAATGAAACAAACACCAAAAGGTAGAAACCCCATTTCTACTAAGGGTGTATATTTGCTCCAGAAAATGCAGTAATAACAAATCAGAGAGATTTAAAATCATGTTGAAATGCATTAAGAGAAGGACTTGAAGAAATCCAAAACAGAAAGTGGGATTTTCAAGTTTAGGTTTCACGGTTAGCACGTTCAAAATGTGTTTGAACCGGTATCGATACTGCCTGCCTAAACCCTAAAATCATATGCGACTAGCTTTACTTGGATCCACCACAGAGCATTACACTTGTGTATATAAATATATTCTGCTTTATGAAGCTTAAGACCAGGAAAAGACAGAAAGTACACTCAGTTGTCTGGGAGACTGACTGGCTATTCCAGTTTCATCACAGAATCGGTTTCAGTGCACATCGCATAGCGAACTAGCGCAACGTTAACACTCCTCAGCTTATGTGTTAAGCGAAATGATTAATAACTTACTAACTACCATCGAGAGGCAAAAGAAACCCCATACAGTTATTACGTTGATGCTGCAACTCAAACAAGATAAAGTCATTGGCAAAAACACCCATCCAAGCTCAGCAGAGAACGCCTATTTGAGCGCAGCTGGCTAACAGTTGCTAATAGTAGCAGGGCGTTTCATCGCTTCCCAAAAATAATTCACTAGTTTAGAGATAAATTATCAACACACGAACAGTTATAATTATATGAAACGTATACGAACGACCAAAAACATGATTCTATTAAGAGCGCACATCATTTTAAACGCCAGAACTTTTACACCTTACCTTTAATAAGTGCTAGTACAGTAGCTAATGCTACGCCTCCTCAGCTAAATTGCTTCCTTGGAGTACGCATGCGCAAAGAACTGACGCGCAATACGTCAAGAACCCACGTGCAACGATACCGAACGATAGTTTTCATTTCATTGTAAATCAAAATTAAAAAAATACAATGCCAATATGTAATATTTTCAATAAAAAATGGTTTACTGTAAAATACTATTCTAAAAATATATATTTTTAAATCAACCCTTTGCGCGAAGCATTCTCCAGTTGTGTGTCATATGAAGTGCTTTCAATTTAATTCAGTTTTGATGATTTGTGTCAATGAGCATTTGGAGTTATATATATAAAAATACACTTGATAGTTAGAATTTTAAGTATATGTACTGTATATTATGGTAATTTATTCTGTATTTTGCCAGATTATGGTGGTTCTGGGGTCGTGATGATGAGGCCCTTGAAGATTGTTGCCCAGTGTACAGTGAAGTGTTAATCTGGAACTGGACCAGTTCCAGTTTTCTAAATGAAAACTTTGGAGTACTGTACTGTAGTTTAAGCCAGCGGTTTAAGCTATATATTTATGCAGTGAGAATTTTGCAATGGTTTAAATTAATCAATCAATAAATCAATCAAACAATCAGCCTTTATTTATAGACCATTTTACAAGTGATTTACTATGCAAAAGTTAAAAACAATCAATAAAAACTACATATAAAGCTATACATAAAATACATATGTAAATATATATTTATAACTAGATATAACATTATATAATTATATATAACTATATATTAATTAATTAAAAATTATATATTTATATAAACACACACATACACACACACACGGTGGCTCAGTGAGTTGGTGGAGCTGTTGCCTCTCAGCAAGTATGTCATCGGTTCAAATCCCAGCCCGGGACCTTTCTAGGTGGAGTTTGTATGTTCTCTCAGTGCATGCGTGGGTTTTCTCTTACAGATCAAAAACATGCATGTTAGGCTGATTAGTAACTCTAAATTGTCCCTAGTTTGAGTGAGAATGTGAGTGGACAAGTATTGGTCCATGTGGGCGGGTTTGCAGTACACTTCAGTTTCCAAATGTCTTCAGAGACTGAGACTTCACAATCCAAAAAAGCCAACCTGACGTACACTATACAGAAGTCTTATGGCTAAAACATGAATAGGACCTGACTTAACCTTGTTAGTTTTATGTACCTGGATTATTGAGCATGCATCAGGACAAAAAAGACACGTTTGTATATGTGTGTGTGTGTCCTTGTGGATTATCAGCTTTCATTTAGAATAGAAATAATCTTTGTTGTCTGTCAGTGGGAAAATTCAGGTGTATGTTTTATTTATTATTATTACTATTATCCATCCATCCATCCATTTTCTTCCGCTTATCCGGGTTCGGGTCGCAGGTGTAGCAGCTTAAGTAGGGAGGCCCAGACTTCCCTCTCCCCAGCACTTGGGCCATTATTATTATTATTATTATTATTATTATTATTACTCAATAGTTTTACCATTTGTTTAGGAGTGTACGGTTTGAAATTTGTAATTTTAGACATTTGATTTTCTTAAAAGCCTATCAGGGACTAAGTCTGCAAATTAGCCACTGGCAAGTTAAACAGTACAGGAAGGGTAACAGTTACACTATTTAAATGTACTTATTGTAACAATCATAAAACATATTTGCTCAATTTTCTCAAACTTTTGGTTATTGTGTCTTTAAAAGTGTTGCAAATTCTGTGAACTGAAGTCACCGTTTGTTTTCTCAAGAGAAACAGCCGATAGGACTGAAAACAGGTCATCGATGCTGACACCCATGGACGAGCTGACTGGGATCAAGACTGTTTTGTTGTACTGTATTAGTGAATATTCACACTCCGATTTGTTGAGTGAAGTATGCAGAAAATATGCTTTTTTATGGTACATCAAGTGCATGCCTGCAGTCAGAACTGTACAATAAATCTGGGGGGGGAAAAGGCCAACACAGTGGATCAGTGGTTAGAGCGGTCCCCGCTTAGCTAGAAGGTTGCAGGGTTGTCTCCTTGTCTGCCTTTCTGGGTGGAGTATGTTGTTCCCTTGCATGTGTGGGTTACTCATAGACCAAAAAAACACGCATGTTAGATTAATTGGTAACTAAATTGTCTCTAGGCGTGGGTAAGAGTGAGAATGATTGATGATGGTCTGCCACATGCATCTCTCTCCTGTGGTGGACTTGCAGTCATGGTGGCTGCTGAAGATGCCATCTTCCCATCACCTGGAGAAGAAAACAGTTACAATGAATGGATCGTTGGATAAATGTGGAAATCTACTAATGTACACTCTTTCAAACTGCATCATCAGAATAACATTTTTTTATGTTTGGTTGATTGAGCCCTGGGATGAATAGACGTTTGATTTCATAGTTTGCAATGAGTGCATTTATTATGTAAGATTGTTTTTAAGTTAGTAAATTACCTATTTGCTCAGGTAAATAAAATAAAAATAAAAAAATCAATAAAATAAGCAACAGTATTGATTCGGACTGAATTTAGACTTAGCCGAGAAACCATAAATTCAACTTGTTTGTAATGACAATAATAAATATTGTTATAAATATGACTGTAAGGGTGTTTTGGAATAAATAATCTTGTTTTGAGGTTTTGACGCTGACCAGTGTTTCGCAGCTCCCATTAGCTCCGCCCTCGTCTCGCGCTTAAAGAAGGAACCGGAGCCCGGTGACGTTGTTACGGTGACGTTGTTACGGTGACGGTTGGCGCTGCTGCCTGGCTGTTAGCGGGACTGACTCAGTGAAGAAAAGAAATGGCGATGCTCGGCGGCTTCAGCTCAGCACAGCGCAAGAAAAGTGTGCCCGACGAGAGCAACGACGTGTCGGAATTCATCTGTCCCGTTTGTCTCGAAATCTTTGAGAGTCCCGTAACGACACAATGCGGCCATACGTGAGTATTTTCGCTTTATTTTCGTTCGCCCTCCCCCCCCATGTAACCCACGTCCACCACCAGCAATGCAACGATACGAGTTAAAAACAATACGAAGAAGGGCTTGATTTTTAAAGACACTTTACACCTAAGTTCGCAAAACATCGACCGTGCGTGCGTCTGCTTGTGTTCAGACTCTACAGATCTGTGTCGCTCGTGTAGATAAGTAACAAAAACCAGTTTAGGTGGCTAAATCAGTTTCAGTTTTGTTTACATCAAAGAGAAGGCCTCGCTCGGGAGTTGTAGTTTTGCTTGTCGTTGCTGTAACTCATGAAAGCACGGTAAAAACTACAATTCCCATAGTCCTTTAGGGGGACTCTCCGTCGGATTTACAAGCAGCTCAAATCGGCAGCACAAAAACGGAAAAATATCGACTTTTACTTGCACGGTGTGCTGCGGTGTTTTACGAAACATATTAGAGATTCCACTTTAAATACGGTTAAAGTGAAATATAATTAATAATTAATGTGTTTTCTCCCCATAACTTGTACATCAAGATTCCTTCCCTTATCTCTTGCCAGGTTCTGCCAGAGTTGTTTGCAAGAATGTTTGCGTCCACAAAAACCCGTGTGTGCAGTATGTAGGGCCACTCCAGGGCTTTTGACTAAAGCTACTAACCTGGAGGCCCTCATCCAGTCATCTGTGGCAGCTTGTAAGGGATGTGGAGTTCAGGTACGTTTAATTATTAATGTGCACAATGTAAAATAACACGTCAGACTTCTGATAGTTTGAATGAAAACTGAGTTTGGGAGCATAGTGCAGCCATGGAGGCTGACAGTTTATCATATCTACACATGATAAAATTAAATAATCAAATTTGGAAGTTAGGTTTTAATAAGATAGATACAGAGTTTATATTGAAAACAATAGTTGATATTTTCTCTCTTTGCGTCAGGTTGGCCTCTCTCAGATGAGAACCCACACAGCAACTTGTTCAAAATACCAGGAGTACATTGAGGAGGGGGTGAGGACCACTGCTCAAAGCCAGCCTGCCGTTATTAGGTGAGAAATAATGAGGACAATCTGAACCATTTTGCTAGTCTCTAGAGTGGTATTGGACACGATATTGTGCATGTAGTGTTTGTAATATGATATTTTATTTGTAATACCTACTGTTTTGTGGTTCTATTTAATTTCCAGACTGCATTAGGCACATCCTCAGTGTTTAAAAGGAGATGTGTACCCCTGTTATTATTCACATCCACACAGCTTGTTCCAAGAGCCTCCTGTTTCATTTTTCTAGTGTTTCAGAGGCTAAAAGATAGCTATACATTAGTTACTTTACCATTATTATTTCTTGCTCTCCATTCTGATTTGTTTAATTGACAAAATCAGCCACTGTGCAATGTATATTTATATATTTTACACAATATTAAAGAGTAAAGATAACGGTCTGCTGTGTAAGCATGGCAGTTTTTAATTTTTTCCATTGTTGAACTTACCAGAGAGTCATTGTTGTATTCCTGAAGGCCTATTTTTTTAGCATAATTTTCAGGTGTACTAGTTGTTGAGAAAAACACAATCCTTTCTTTCCCCTGAAGGCACAATCATCACACAATCACCACTGAGAGTTGGCACAGCATCACATGAAGCTTTTAGTTCTTCTACAGTTTTAATTTTTCCCCAATTCATTTTGATCTAAAACATTATTTCATGCTAACAAACACTCAACATTCTCTAAAATTAAGCAGTTCAAAACACCAATTTATGGCTGGATTTTCTGCTGTGGTTCATACAGTTTTAGTCAAAAGTCATCTGGCTCAGAAGCAGAGAAAAACAACAAGGTACCACAGCTCATTATTGTAAGTAAAACTGTAAGTGAAAGTAAATTTAGACAGCCGTCTTATTTATTCAGTAACATAGTATGTTGGCTTCCTCTGAAATGTTGATGGGAAGCTGAAATAATCCTCCACTTCTGTGTTGTGCCTGTTTCTTACTGTGATTCCAACAGAGCATGCATGTACCGTGATGAAACTTAACATGTGTACAGTCTATTATTGGGCAAAATAAATACCTGAAGTGCTTGACATCTTTTCAGTATTTTGAAGAGGATGCTCAACCTCACTATGTTGTTAAAATACTGTGCCAATACTTGGTGCGGAAATGTAGGAATAGATGTGGAGAAAATGAAATGAAACTGAGATACCATGAGTTCACACCGTTGTTAGAAAAGCCAAATGAAAGTAAATCTAATCAACAAATCAATCAAGTTTTTATTTGTTTTTATTACATTGTATAATGGCCTGCAGGCATTGCTGTAGTTACTGCCTGTACAGTGTTTGCATGTTGGTGCCTGTAAGTAAATGAAGCCATATTTTTCTGCTAAAAGCTCACCAAAGAGAGAATGGAAGACTGGACATTATAAGTTTCTTTGTACTTTATTATACTAAATTGTTGTACAAGCTGCTCAAAAGGCTCCCAAGTTGAGGTTTGACTGAAAATGTATTCAGTTGTGTCCAGTTGTGATGATGAATGAATATCACGGCAAAGTGTTTCTGTTTCTCACAGTCCAGTGCCAAATCGCTACACTTTCTCCTGCCCCTACTGCAACTGCCAGAACCTGGATCAGGATGGCCTAGTTGAACATTGCACTTCCCAACATGCTCGAGATCCACGCCAAGTGGTAAGAAATGCACATTATATTGTGATCCCCTTAGTTTTCCTCCAGCTCCACACCATATGTTTTACTGTTTGTTTAATTCAATTCAGTTTATTTATATAGCGCCAAGTCACAACAGAAGTCGTCTCAGAGCACTGAACAGAAACATTCAGTTATGTTGTTTGTCATATGCAGTTAACACAAGTTCAGCAGTACAATAAAATGTTCAGGATGAGAAGAACCGAATCAACTCGCTAAAAATACACAAACAAATAAACAAGAAATACTAAAGCATGCAATAAGGGTACAAAACAAAGTATCAAAAAGTGAAAAAGTAATATAATATTTACAAGGTCCAAAAGAAAAAGGGTAAACAACACAGTGCAAGTAAGATGAATTTGTATGAATAAGTAATTCATAAGTTGTAATATAAGCTTAAATGCATATGTATTGCACATAACTAACATATACTACACAGGTTGTGTGACTAGTTATTGCACAGGTAGTGAGTAGCATTGAGATTAATTGAATTATGATGGGAAGGTAGTGACGTACAACAAGGGGTGGGCGATATGGGTGGAGTTCTTTTCTCCACCCTGAACTCAGTTCTACACCTCAGTGAGCCTTCACCTCTGGAAGCCTCAACTGAGCTGTGTGAGAACTTCCTCCATTTCTTTTTAGAAAAAGTGGCAAACACCCGGGCACTCATTTCTCCACCAGCTCATGATCTGTCCATCCCTTCTCAGTGTGTGGCTGTGTTTGACCTCTCTCTGTCCTCTCTGGAGCAGGTAATGTGCAGCATGAAGCCATCTGGTTCCCCCTTTGATGTGGTCCCCCCTCGACTGCTAAAGGAAGTTTTTCCTACCCTGGGTCCTTTTATCCTCGCTATTCTGAATAGCAGTTTATCCTCAGGTGTGGTGCCAAAGACTTTTAAACATGCTGCTGTCCAGCCCCTCCTGAAAAAACCTAACCTTGACCCCCTCAGTCATGTCCAACTTCCGGCCTGTCTCCAGACTCCCATTCACCTCTAAACTACTGGAAAAAATTGTGGAGTCTCAGTTGAAACAGTTTTTGGGGGATCACGCTATCCTTGAGTTATTCCAATCTGGCTTCAAATCTCTCCATAGCAGTGAAACTGCTCTACTGAAGGTTTTTAATGACATTTTCATATCCACAGACGCAGGTGATTCTGTGCTGCTTGTCCTATTGGACCTTACATCTGCTTTTGACACCATCGACCACAAGATCGAGGTGGGCATCACAGGGTCAGCCCTTAAATGGTTTGGGTCCTACCTCTCTGACAGAACCTTCTGTGTCAATATCAAAGATTTTAGTTCGGCATCGACCGCACTCCAGTGGGGGGTACCGCAGGGGTCCATCCTCGGTCCCCTTCTCTTTTCTTTATACCTGCTGCCACTAGGTGCTATCTTCCGCAAACACGACATACCCTTTCATTTCTATGCCAATGATTGCCAAATTTACTTCCCCCTGAGGCACAGAGGCACACGCTCTATTCAGCCTCTTCTTGACTGCCTGGCTGACATCCGGGACTGGATGGCTTTAAACTTCTTAAGCTTCAATGAGAAGAAGTCTGAAGTCATGCTGTTCCATCCCAGTGGCTCACTCATGAACCATGACATTGACCTTTTCTCTCTAGCCCCGCTAGAGAAACAAAAGGTGACTAATCTGGGGGTGATAATGGACCCGTCCTTAAAACTCAACAGTCACGTAAACATGATGGTCAAATCCTGTTTTTTTCAGCTGAGACGGCTGTCTAAGCTGAAGCCTATACTCTCCAAAAAGAACCTTGAGACAGTGATCCACGCCTTCATAACATCTAGGCTTGATTACTGCAATTCACTTCTGTTTGGAATCAGTCAGTCCTCCATTGCTCGTCTACAACTGGTCCAAAATGCTGCAGCCCGATTTTTAACTGGTACAGGCTATAGAGAGCACATCACGCCAGTTTTGGCCTCCCTGCACTGGCTACCCATTCACCTTCGGATCCATTTCAAAATTCTCATGTATGTTTTTAAATCACTGAACAGTTCCGCCCCATCCTATCTCACTGATCTTCTGCAGCCATATGTCCCACCGCGCTCTCTGAGGTCAGCAGACCAGATGCTTCTCTCAGTCCCAGAAACCCGTCGTAAGCTCAGAGGTGACAGGGCTTTCTCTGTTGCAGGTCCACGACTGTGGAATGAGTTGCCACTGAGTGTCCGGCAGGCTCCCACACTCTCAGTCTTTAAGTCTCGCTTGAAGACCCACTTCTATT